TTTTGTTGAGTTTCGAATTTGCTTTCATATATACTTTCAAGAAGTACTAAAACAGCAAAAAGTGATCACAAGGAGATGTTGCAACTTGATAAAGTAAATTCAATTATTTAATGATCAATACATAACATTGTACCGTTACAACTTACTATTAACTATAGAGATTTTCGATCAATACTATTCGGTCTGGTTTTGGTTTATTTTTTTTGTTTGATTTTTCGTCTGGAAGAATAACTAACAACCATAAGTGCATTTAATAGTTTTGTCTACTTCCAGAGTTTCCCATTCTGATAAATATTTCAATCAAGTTTATCTCGGCGATTATTTTATACAACAACAATATGTTTAAGTTTATATTTAGCTTTGGTTTTCGACATTATACATTTTACACCGAAAGAAATATGATTTGAATTAGATCGTTTTCGATGTGGAGCAATCCCTATTAAAAACACATGTATCAGATACATGTCCATGAAAACATGTTACATATATACTCGACTGATTCAATTATAATCATATAAGTAAAGAGAAACAAAGATAATTAGAAATACATAAATTCGTAAATCAATTACAACTACAAAATCAAATGACTATATATAAAGACAACTTTATTTCCTATAAATATCTTCAAATAGTAGGAGGAGCTTCTGCGATGCTTTTGTACTGCGAAATTGCGAATAGCTGCAGAAAACATGTGCGATGTGCTTTTTTCTTTTTTACGTCCTTTCTTTCGTAATTAACTAAAATCTTATTTAATAGCACTTGCTTTACGACCAAAATGAAAATCACAAGAAAATTGTCTTTTGGGAGAGTCCAAAGGTTAAACGAAGGAGTAAAGAATACTATTCACACCTTCGCTATTCACAATCTTGGTTCTGACTTACACACAATCTAGTGGAGGAATTCTGGTTAATACAGATTTAAGATAATGTTTTTATCTAAATAAAAATACAGTTTTTAGATCATTTATCATTTATGCATGCGACGGATTTACTCATTTACACGTCTAATGTTTATTCCCAAGTGTTATAAAAAAAAAATGTTTATGTCCAATTTACCATTGTATTCCAAGAAAAATCTGTCTACAATGAAAATTCAGTTATAATCCTTTGAAGTTACTTCAACTTTTGTCTGAATTCAGGAATCTTGTATGCCTCCACGACCATCACTAGACCCGACAGCTTCTTCAGCTGCAAGAATCACCATTAGAACCAAAGACTATACAAACCAGAATCAGTTGAATCAAACTAATGTGATTTGAGGGAAAGTATGTCGGCATTTCATGAGATTACTTACTTCTTGAGATGTAACGAGCTGCGAATGCACAAGAAATGTGAAGGACCAAGAGCTAAGCTGCAATACATTTTTCCAACAAGTGTTATAATTTGTTTCTTTTCACATGGGAAGTGGAGTAAGTAATGTACGTGAGAGTAAGTACCTCGAGGAAAATTTCATCTTCAAGCTTAAGGAATATTGTTTCCTCGTTGTCTTCTTCACCACGACGAGGTATTTTCTGCTTAGGATTCTTCAACTATTTAACCAAAAACCATATCACATTGTTAATACAAGCAAGCTTATACAAGAATGGAGCAAATACCTTCAAAACACACAAATTACCTTGTAAATCTTGGTGACTAGAATATACGACTTGAAGCGGAGTGACCCCCTAATCTCATAAGAAAACTGTTAAATTTATATTGCTCATAAGAAAAGAAGTTACCTAAAGTTGATTTAAAAGATCGAACCTCGTCTTCAGTAGCCCATGAGACTTCATCCAACAATCCATCATCCAATGGAGGAAGAAGTTGAGGAGGAAGATTCATCACTCTTTGAGATACCAATAAACCACAACATCTTTTGCCTTTTTTCTCCAAGAGCAGTTCTAGATCACTCGCTATATTCTTCTCCGGACAAACTTCAAGAAGAAACTCTTTTAGCTCTCTAAAGCACTTACTGTCCTGAACAAGAAAAATATACATATATTCCTCAACAAGCTTAACACATTTGAATATGATAATTACTTCAACAAGCTTATACAACACATAATCGAGTCGATCATTAAAACAATTAACAAAGCCAAGTTTTCATGACTTGCCTTTTATCGTTACAAGTTAAGAGCAGTGACAAGAGCAAATAATGCCTCATCCTCATCATCTGCTACTTTAACCACAGTTCCTACCGTTGTCTGATCCCACTCCTTGTCATCGAGATAGTTTTGTAAGAGGATCTTGACTCCATGAAAGTTTGTAGCTTTAGGGTCAAAGAACTCAAAGTCTGCTTGGACTTCTCTCTTCAAAGATCAAAACACCGAAATTACAATGTAACCAAAAGATAAACCGAAATCAACAGAAGAAGTAAACAAACAATCTCTTACCTCAGAGTCTTCTTCATCAGAGGATTCCAACAACTGTTCTTCTTTCCCTTTACTAGATAAATTATGAAACTTTTCATCTACAAAAAAATTCAAATGAAGAACACACTCATCAGGTCACTACATGTCCTGCATATAAAGCCTCAAAATCTAAGTTTACTCACTAAAAGACATATCTTCAGAACATTGAGAATCTTTAGTATGAGGGCAATCTACACTTAGCCGTTGAAGCAAATGCACCAGACCGCATAAACGGTAAAAATGCTAAAAGGTTGATACTTTCGAAATCTTCTCTATCGAAATTCGAAACTAAACAAAATTTCAGGCTAATTCCACACCAAAATTGAGTTCAAGGACACTATAATAGAAAAAGCAAAACTGATACAGTAGTACACTATTCTACGAGAAATCGATGCTGAAGAAATTATTTTACCTTGAAATTGAGAAGCTGAAAAAAAAAAATGGGTTTGAAAATTAAAAAGCTTGAGATTCTTTCCGGCTCTCTGTCGGAAGATTTCACCAACGGTGGAGCGAGTTGTAACACCGGTAAGAGAATCGGCGGCGACTGGAAACACACCGAGAGAGACGAGAAAGAAGAAGAAGAAGTAAAGCAAACGCTTCATATACAATTAAAGTAAAATTGCCTAAACCGAACGGTTCAATAAAATCAGTCCGTACCGGGCCGGTTCGGGTATAAATATTCCAAAAACCAAAAAACTCTGTTCCCTCTTTGGGTCTCAACTTGGGCTAAATTGGAAACTGGCCCGGTAGAAGCCTAAACCGGAAAGAGAAAAGGTGGTGTGCATAGCGATCGATCTTATTGGTGTATTATTGACCACAAATAAGTGCATTCTATAATTTGTAAAAATAGTTATTCATTCTATAATTGTGGGAAAACGAAAAGGTAAAAGACAAGTTAGCTAACAAAATCATTATTTTGGATTCATTCGGTTTAGTAAGATTAATTAAGACACTTATTGGGAAAATGAAATGACGTAGGAGATAGACTCGAGGAGCTGAGGAAGAAAACAAAAGTTTGTTATAAGAAGAATTTAAGAGGTACTATAAGTTAAGTGAAAGTTAGTTTATTTACATCCTAAAACATGTGATCTCTTCGTAGATCTTTTGACTAAACTCAACGAACTATTTAACTATTTTACAAATATTTAGTCCGGGAATATTAATCTTTTTATATTTCTATTGTGATTGCATGAAAAATGTGAGAGGTGGCGTATGACATCGTCTTGTGTATGCATTGCGTGTTAAGGTCAAACATCTTTTAAGTCGAAGAAGACGTTACTATATATCAAATATACCGAAGATGTAGATATTGCTTGTTTGTTCAATAAGTATGAATATTTATTTACTTCCACATATCAATCAACAATCATGCTTATAAGTTAGAACATAAATTTATTCTTAAGAAAGAAGATAATAATTAGTTAGCATGTGCGCTGAAAATTTCTAAATATTGTTTTTTCTACTCTATTTAAGGCTTTATAACTCTACTGTTAGATAGTTGATTGAACTATAACACAATATGTGAATTCAGAAACAAACCATTTTGAGTGATTAATTATTCCTTGGAAGCTACATAAAACGAAAAATAAAATAAATAGAAGTTTTTAATTGGTTTGAG